TATGTAAAATTAGATTTTCCTCTTTATATTTATAGACAGAAGTAACTGCTATTATGTCTCTAATATTTAGCATAGCTAGATCTCTGAAAGCTTGCAATTGTTCTCCCCTTAGATCAGAGATCCCTGGGTCTATGAAGAATAAAATCTCAGTAGATCAGATAAGATGGAAATTTCTCAAGGTTTGCGTTCCTGCTTAAATAATGATATTGATGTACTAATTTTTGTATATTCATTCAGATAGTGGTAGACCATGACATGTTAATCAGAGACATTTACACTGGATGGCCTGGGTCAACCCATGATGCGAGGGTATTCAGAAATTCAAATTTATTTGCCAATGCCACCACAGGAAATTGCATGGATGTCAATAAGTACATAATTGCTGATAGTGCTTATCCACTGAAACAGTGGCTTATAACTCCCTTCAAAGACAATGGAAGATTAAACGCTCAGCAGAGAAGGTTCAACAGGGTATTATCATCAGCAAGGCAAGTGGTTGAACGTAGCATTGGCCATCTTAAACAAGAGGCCCATGGGCCACATCGCTTACCTGAGTAACTTTGGCCATGCTGTTCATTACCAGACTTCCCCCCTTGTAATACCTATTGTGGCCCCGCCCTACCCCCAGGGGCCATGATTTGAACAATTTAGAATCTACAATACCCCCAGGATGCTTCCACATAAGTTTCAGTTTTTCTGGTCCAGTGGTTCTTAAGAAGATTTTTAAAGATTTTTCCTATATATTTCAATGTAAAACTTGGATTCCCTATTGTGCCCCCCCCCCCATCCCCGGGGGTCATGATTTGAACAATTAAGAGTGTACACTACTTGAGGATGCTTCCACATAAGTTTCAGCTTTTCTGGCTCAGTGGTTCTTGAAAAGAAGATTTTTCAAGATTTTTCCTATATATTTCAATGTAAAACTTGGATTCCCTATTGTGGCCCTGCCCTACCACCGGGGGTCATGATTTGAACAATTTAGAGTGTACACTACTTGAGGATGCTTCCACATAAGTTTCAGCTTTTCTGGCTCAATGGTTCTTGAGAAGAAGATTTTTCAAGATTTTTCCTATATATTTCAATGTAAAACTTGGATTCCCTATTGTGGCCTCGCCCTACCCCCGGGGGTCATGATTTGAACAATTTAGAATCTACACTACCCCAGGATGCTTCCTCATAAGTTTCAGCTTTTCTGGCAAAGTGGTTCTTGAGAAGATTTTTCAAGATTTTTCCTATATATTTCAATGTAAAACTTGGATTCCCTATTGTGGCCTCGCCCTACCACCGGGGGTCATGATTTGAAAAATTTAGAATCTACACTACCCCAGGATGCTTCCACATAAGTTTCAGCTTTTCTGGCAAAGTGGTTCTTGAGAAGAAGATTTTTAAAGATTTTTCCTATATATTTCAATGTAAAACTTGGATTCCCTTTTGTGGCCTCGCCCTACCCCCGGGGGTCATGATTTGAACAATTTAGAATCTACACTACCCGAGGATGCTTCCACATAAGTTTCAGCTTTTCTGGCTCATTGGTTCTTGAGAAGAAGATTTTTTTATGACCCCACCCTATTTTTGTCTTTTCTTGATTATCTCCCCTTGTAAGGGGACTTGGCCCTTTATTTTTACAATTTAAACTCCCCTTTCCCCAAGGATACTTTGTACCAAGTTTGGTTGAAATTGGCCCAGTGGTTCTTGAGAAGAAGTTGAAAATGTGAAAAGTTTACAGACGGACGGACGGACGGACGACGGACAACGGGTGATCAGAAAAGCTCACTTGAGCTTTCAGCTCAGGTGAGCTAAAAACGTTTTAGGCGTTTTACAGAGGTCACTATTCATCATCCAGAAGAAATTGTAAAAACTATTGTTTCTGGGTGCATTCTACATAACTTATGTATCATTCATGAAGACAGTGTGGAAAACTTTGTGGAAATAAACAATATGATGGTCATCCAAATCACTTTCCTAACATATATAATGATGGAGAAGATGGAATTCACAGAGGCAACAGCTTATGCAGATGTTGCCATGATGGAACTGTACATTGAACAGTCTGTATTACGTATTGATGTTGCTTACTTAGTGGTTGATAACAGAAAAGCTTGTAATTTACATCTTAATTTTAATAATAAAACAACAAGAAAAAATAACAACTGTGTTTAATAACAATATAAATTAAAAAAAAAAAAAAATGTTAAAAAATGACTAGAAAATTACAGGAATACTTTTCCTCTGTGAAATGAAATCATGTCAGAATGACTGAACATATTCTTAGAACTATAACGTATATTATTGCAAGACAAAAAAATTGAAATAATTATTTGGAAGAAAACATCTTTAAGGTCATGGATTAAAATCTGCCCAGTGACCTAAAATGTACAATGTACACATATTCTCAAACAGATTGTCACTGTATACAACAAATCATTTAAAGCTGAAAAAAAATTGCAATACCATAGGCATATGAGACTCCAAAGTGAAAAAAAAACAGTGTATTAAACTAAATATTAAAAAAGAAAACATTTCAACATCTTATGGCACATTACAGGTCCTTCCTTGCAAGTCATGGTAGGTGTAAATTATACTAATTTACATCTTCAAAATAGAAACGCCATCATGAAAATTAATTTTAATCTGCATTTTTTGTTTTTGAAAATATATCAAGAAATTTGTCAAATCTCTCCATTTTTTCTTGCTGATGAGTGTTCATCTGTTCCACCATCTTCTTTTCCAGGGAGGGGGGCACTGAATTTTCCTACGTATATTGATATAATCTCCTGGTTATTCTATTGTCATTCTCTCAACCCCTACTAAGGGAGGAACCCAAGACACCCTTCTACTATTATCTTGTTCCCTTCTATTTCAATTCTTATGTACAACCCTAAAAAACCATGGCTGTAATTCTCTGCTGTGCCTGTAATTTCAAAAAATTCTTTCTGGGGAAGATACACTTCTGAAAATCATCAGAGCTTACTATCTTGATAAAACTTTAATATAATAGTTTGCCATCCTTGACAATAATTACATTGTATGAAAAACTCTTAGTTCATGAAAACTGTTTGACAATAGCATTTACTTGGGTCATAGAAAATACAATTGATCAGAGTAAAACACGTTTTTCATTTCATAAAACTAATACTGCTCTCAATAACAATATTACCTTGATACTACTTCTGCTAGCTTAGTGGTCAAAATCTCTGAAAATTCTTCTATAGTTAAAATTGAATTTGGTCCAATTTGCATGCATTCATTGCAATTAAATCCATGGGATGAGCATAAGGAAAATGGTGATAACTCTTCAGAGAAACATCTAGTGGATGGACAGGTAGAAGGCCATGAGAAGGTAGATGAAGAACCACTTGTAGGGGATAATAAGTCATCAAGGTTTTTACCCCAGTAAACATTTAGATTTTTTTCTTCATAAATAGAGCAGTTCAGCCCGTAATAAATAAAACTTGGCTGTACCTTTTCAGCTCCACTAGAACATTCTGCTTCATTTGAAGTATTTGATGTATCTGCCTCAGACTCATCTTTGCATTCTTCCATTGGTGCACTGTTGTCTTTTTGATATAGTTCTTGATAAATAGATTCTTTCACTGCTGGATCTGTAAAAATAGACAACTCAAAAAAAAATAATTCACACCCCATTAATTATCATGAGCATATAACAAGTGTACAGGCCATTTATACAACATAAAACTGAAAAATAATGCATTAAATCCAACATACTTATGCAGTATGGACAGAAGGAAAGAAATCTATTAGACTTTTAACACCTTACCACAGTTAGGATCATTTATCATCTGCAATAATTAACGGGGCATTTGGCACTTTTTCTGGATACCATTCCATGTAAATTCAACGGTAATTCTGTAGTGGAGAAATGATAAGTTCTATTCATTACAGCATATTTGTATTAATTTTGTTCATGCATGAAAAATCCCGCTCGACTAAAAATAGAAACCCGCGCAGTTTAAGATTTGCTAATTAAGTTATCTCTCTACATTCTTTTTTATCAGCTTTTTATAATAAAATCTCTGATATCCCAAATTGTTTATACTTACAAGTCCACGTTGTTTCCAGCCGCTGCCAACTTGAAACTCTACTAACCCAGGGCAAGACGTGGGTCGTACTAGGGTAGAGTTCAAAGTTGAAATGACGTCACTATAGTCGCAATTCTACCTGTTCGGCTGTTACTCGAGTTACTCGGGCACTTACTATAGTTCCAGTCGAAGTGGGCATTTGTGAATACTAAATTCCGTCACGTGACTTGTAAGGTAGCATGTTTTGTGCTAACTAGGACATTGTGTTCGAACAGGTTAAGTCATCTGGCATTGATATAAAATCTGCTTTAATTACATTGACGAGCTCAAATGGTTAATTTCGTTTTGAAACCTTTGTCAGAAGTGTATATGTGCCGTACCGAATGGAGAGGGAGATTGGAAAGAGTGATCACTTTTTTTTACAAACATGTCATTGTTATTTATCAAGTCTAATTTTAGACCCATTCTTACAACAGTGTGCAATGTTAGCTCCACCTCTCATGCATATCTAATGTTCATTCAAGGGCAGGTAAGTGTAAATTCACTATATTTGGAAAGCAGTAAGGACAAAACACATTAAACCATTTTATTGTATCACAGTCTAAAATCATTTTAAGATTTAAATTTGGTTCCAAATTGACAGGATTCTTTAATAAACATACAAAAGTGAAATAAGGTTTAGATATAAAAGCAACAGAAGCAACCGAAAAAGACCCCAAAACAGGCGTTAAGTGCAGTCATCCTTTTTATTCATTTAGCTTATTAAATGTAGATTGGCTCAAAAAAGTCTTTCGCTAAATCGAATGCTGGAATTTCAATATTTCATGAGATGGGTTTGCAACAAATTTCAATAAAATAACATTTTTAAAACTCGGCTGATCAATTCTTATTTATAAATCAGCTTGTGTGATGCACTTGCGCATATAGATGAACTGTGTGCATTTGTGTGCAAGGTTTCACAATTTTCCTCATTTTGAAACAAACGCAAACTGGAACGTACGGAATTTACAAGAAATGGCAAAATATCGAAATTACTGGATCATGATTATTTTTCACAGCCTTGCGATAGCATCTTTAAAAGACGGATTTGAAAACCTTCAGTGGGGCAAGCGAATCTTGGGAAGGTTACTGACCACTGTTGTCAAGGTCAGTCCAATAGAATGCGCCGAGGAGTGCCTTACACGCCCAGGGTGTCTGTCGTTTAATTACAGACGCGCCGCGATATTTTGCGAGCTTAATTACGTGAGCGGCAACAGTTCTGATACAAAACCCGTTGATGATGACGGTTGGATTTTTAGTGTAAGAAACACTTGGCCAAAGGTAAATAAGAATATCTTTTTTATATATGAAATCGAGACATCGATGAATAATTCCAAAATGTTACAAAATAATACATTGATGCAAAGCATCAAATGGGTTGCAAATCTTCCACATGCTGATAATAAAGCTGTGTGAAGTGATGATGCCGATAATATTTGCAGATGATTCTGATGGACATCAAAATAAAAGTAGAGATTTGAAAAAATATCGTTGTGTCATTTGCATCTGTAACAAATTCAAAACAAAATTTACTACCATCTTTTATCTGTGATCTTTTAATTTTTGTAATTATCTTGATTCTACTATTGAGCTGCTTAAAATTTATGCCTTTCATACTACCATTCTGGGCGAGCAATTCTTGTAAACAGTTTTGCAAACCTGATGAAAAAAGAAGAAAAAACATTGTCAAGTATTAATCAAAACAATAATCGTTTGTTTTAGATTTCATACAAAAAAGTTTTTAAAAATCAAACATTGAATTTTATAAACAACTGAAGCATTAGATTCAAATGGAAAATAGCTTACTGAATAGAAAGGGCAATAATTCATTATCTCAGCACAAAATTAAAAACAGAAGTATTTTGTATATTTATAAATAATATTAAATGTCATTCGTATATCAAAAAGTATAAGTAAAAGTTAAGGATTTAATTGGCAAAAAAGGCAATTATTATGTAGGAATTAAATTAACTCCTAAATAATTATTAACTCATCATTGAATGGTCTAAATAAAACGAACTTTCAGTTATACACTGTATTAGGATTACTTTCTTCCTGAGGTCACTATTATGGTCATTACCCCTAAAGAATGCAATAATTAAAAAAAAAAAAAAAAAAAAAAAAAAAAAAAAAAAAAAAAGATAGTGTTAGGACATAGAGATAGTTTGTTCATTATTTTTCTAATATATTTGAGACAGTGAATCATACACTGATATCAATATGTACAGTTGATATATTATTGTTTTTTTTAATATATATATATATATATATATATATATATATATATATATATATATATATATATATATATATATATATTTATCCCATGTTTACCCCTTTATCCAGTGGATATGACTCATTGGATAAATTTTTCATAAACCACAGTTGTGACGTCACAATGGTTTTTGCGTTAGCGTGATGAAGTAAAATGAGGTGGAGTCCTATATAAAACAGTGTAAAACATTGGTTGTGAAGTATTAAACATGGGATAAAAAGAATCTCCCATGATTTGTAGTTGGATATGACTTTTATCCAACTCGTTGTGTGTTTTTTATCCCCTCGCCAAGACTCGGGGATAAATAACACACAACTCGTTGGATAAAAATCATATCCAACTACAAATCATGGGAGATCCTATATATATATATATATATATATATATATATATATATATATATATATATATATATATATATATATATATATATATATATATATTTCTTCAGGAAATAACAGGCGCATGTAAAGATGCTGTATGTTCCTTGAACGAACAATGTAAGAGAGGAGCTTTAGGAACCTATAACTGCACTTTATCACGTTAGTAGCTGATCATTTCATACTTTCTTTTGTTAAAGCTGAACACGACTCGTAAATATGCATAAGCCATATTAATTTTTTTTTATCTCGGATATCAGCACTTGTATACCCTACGCTTTCGTTACACCTGACAGGCTCGAGACAGCTTTCTTGTCATGGGTACCTGCGTGGAATGGACGACACGTGTTCGTGTTGGTTATCTTACATTACCTTTGTCTACATTTTATTGCAGTTACATGTACGTAACTATATTTGTGTTTGTTTGTAAGTTTCTTTAATATTTTTTTTTCTCCTGCCGTGGAAGAAGCACATATTTACTTTTGTCGCTACCATTTTTTTTTTTTTTAAAAAAAACAAAATGCTCCATGTAGCATAGTCTACATGTGAAGACTGATTACACTGAACCGTGTTTAAGTGAACGATTTATACAGGGGCTTCAGATATAACGACAGAATAAAAGAATATACGGGAGAAATTCCTTTTACGATTCGTGCTAAGCTTTAATTAGGCATTATTATTATTTTAAGTCTTCCTTACCAGTTATGTTCTATTACCCGACTTCTAAATCTATTGCCACGAGTCAGGTACTATGAATTAGTGGTATACTTTCATTTTAAATCAAATTTTATTAAAATGTACTGCATGGCACTGTTACCCTACCGCGTGCGTAAACCACGCCCTCTGGGTAACATTACATAGCAACGGTTGACAATGCATGACTGCAGGTAACAGTATAAAAATTGTTAACTTCACAGAATGTCTGTGCATATGGTTCACAGTGGATTTTTCTTTAAAATGCATTCTAAATACATTCAGTATAACCAAAAAAAATTATATGTTTATTTAGGGTAACGTGAAATTGTTATCCCTTGAAAACCATTGCAGCAATAGCTTTCGCATGTTACTCTAAAAAACATGCAATATTTTTTATAATATCCTCCATGAAATGTTGATAACTTTTAATACAATGTATATAATGACTCTTTGCTCCTTCAACCACGGATCTTTTTTCTTGAATCATGAAAATTTGACCACACGAAAATACAGTCATGATTTTACGATATTTTCTGTCCGTAGTTCTAAATGCCACTGTCCAAATGTGTTTAATTATATCATAAGAGTTTTTGTTTTAAATTAGAAGAATAGAAACCTTTATAAAAATTAATTATTTTGCAATACAGAATAATAAATCTTAGAATTAAGTCGATTAGTTTTTTTTTTTTTTGGGGGGGGGGAGGGGTGTACGTAATTAATGCAATCTAATATTTATTTTTTTACGGTATATCAAACTGTTTAATACTAAATCTACTTAATGAAGTGGCCATTCAATGGTATAATAGCTCCTGCCAATCTATCAGCTTATTCCTTATAAGGATATATGTTTCACATTGTAAAACATTGTATGCAGTTCATCTTTGGCCCGGAGGGGGGAGGGAGGGGGTGAAGCGACAAAAATGTAAAATTGACCTCATGTATGCATTTTGAAAATTTATAGTTATACATTTCTAAAAATATGCACGAATTAATCAGATCTTGCACTACACAGAGGTAGATTTAGGATTTCCAGCTGGGGAGAGGCTGCAAATTTTCGAAATAAGTTATGAACTATCATATACCTATCCGTTTTTAATATACGGGTAAAAGTACGTTATATTTACCATATTTTAACTGAATTAGGTAAAGACAAGAACATGGATCATATCACACAATATTGTGAAGGGAAAAAAGCCGTCAGATTCTAAAACATATTTATATTTATTTTTGACACAATAATAATTCACTCTCCCCCCCCCCTTCTCTCTCTCAATTAAAATTATTTATTAATCCTTCGAGATAAAGGCAGGTTAGAATTATGTGTAAACTGTACTCGTACATGTATGTATGCAGTGGTGAGCTTTACGTGCAGTTAGAGCATTCCTGAAAAATAAATTCATTGTTACACATATTTTAAAATTTGCAACTTGGCTGTCCGGCGATGTAACTCATGCAAGTTTCTAGTTGTTTATAAATAATGTAAGCCATGCCTTGCTCAATATCATTTTCATTTTCTTTATTTAGATTGTCATCCATCAGATCTGACAATTTCCCCGGAAATAAAGCCATTCCAATCGAAAATAGCAGTCGACTTTAACTCTGTACACAAACTGGAATGCAAAGATGGATACATACAAGTATCGGGGGATGGAAAGATAAAATGTCAACAGAATGGCACGTGGACAGGTCATAATATCAGATGTAGAGGTAAATGTCAGATTTAAAGGTAAATATTAGATATAAAGGTTTATTTCAGATGTAAATGGTACACTTAAACCTCGTTATTTCGAACTCGGTGGGACCGAGAAAAAAAACAGATACTTAGTATTCGAGGGCTCGAGATATCGACGGTAAAATACTTTCGAAATACGTGGGAAGGACTTCCCAATTAATCACTTCGACATATCCATGGTATTCGAGATATCCGTGTTCGAGATACCGAAGTTCAACTGTATATGTAATAATTGCTTTCCGAAATGAAGAGAGGAGTATGCGCTGATTACCTATAGTTATTGCTGACAAACATCCATAGTGATTTTACAACTGACGTGGCGTGAATTGACATGGCATGGCGTGACGTAACGATTCTCTGAAAGAATGAAAATAATTTTAAAAAACAGTGTATGTACACTACACAAATGTAATACATTATAATGTTATAAAATGGTTCAGGATGTAACAGACTCTCAATTAATACTTGCAAACATAGCATAAATGAATCATCTTAACAAATAATACACAACAGTTAAATGAATTGTATTTCTTACCGAAATTTTATCTCAGAGAGTCTCCACTTCCAGACAACAGTTAACATTATACACTTATTTCATGACTCCGAGGGGAACAGTCAAACTGCTCTCCCGAGGTAACGAGGAAGACCTGGGAAACTGTTGCCCGAGGCCGAAGGCCAAGGGCAACAATTTCCCAGGTCTTTCCCATTATCGAGGGACAACAGTTTGACTGTTTCCCGAGTTGTCATGAAAAAAGTGCTTTATTACCTAACCTACTATATAATTTCTTAAAGTAATGATATCGACATAATAATCAATGGCTTTTAAAATACATCGACAAAAGTTTGTATTTTTTTTTAACCAAACTAAACAAGATGAATATTAATCAAATTCTTACACCGATTGGTGTAAAATCAGAAAAATTATTGGGTGCGATATCATTCACTAAAAAATTAAAAAAAAAAAAAAAACATGTAGTAAACAACATATGATGTCTTGAAGATTTGAATATTACACGTTTATGGCAAAGATCTATAATGAGTGGAATGGGCCTACATTTTTCCCAAATTACCCTCAGAAAAGGTGTTCATGGCCTCTTCTTTGAAATGATATTAAGTTGAATATATTGTAACGGGAGAGGAGAAAAATGCAGCGGACCAGACCGGGATTCGAACCCGGGCCCCCTGAATCTCCAGTCAGGTGCTCTACCAACTGAGCTATCTGGCCACCGGCGATCGAATCCGTCTGACCGCCACATTCCTCCCTCCTTAAAGGTCTTCGGAATTCGGGATTCGAACCCGGTCTGGTCCGCTGCATTTTTCTCTTCTCCCGTTACATTTGGTGCCGTGCCATGCCCTGGAAGTGACAGGTGAAAGACCTGCCAGGGAAGAGCCTGGGTTGGTGTCTTCGGGGGCCGAAGACCTTTAAGGAGGGAGGAATGTGGCGGTCGGACGGGATCGATCGCCGGTGGCCAGATAGCTCAGTTGGTAGAGCGCCTGACTGGAGATTCAGGGGGCCCGGGTTCGAATCCCGGTCTGGTCCGCTGCATTTTTCTCTTCTCCCGTTACAATATATTTATATTAGTATCAGGATTACTTTTCAGATGATAATTTCTAATTGAATGAAAATGTTTCAATTTATACATAATTCAATATTATAGCTGTAAAGTTCGAGGAATTAGTTATGACGTCATAATGGAACAGTTCAGCAATGCAAAGCAGTTCATTTTATGACCGGGTAAACAGTTTTGACTGTTTCATGATGTGCAAAAACATTAAAAAGAATCAGGGAACAGTTCAAAATGCCTAATTACAATTTATATAGTAGGTTAGGTAATAATTTTGACTGTTTTATGGATGTGCAAAAAAGTTAAAATGAATCAGGAAGCAGTTCAAAATGCCTAATTATAATTTATATAGTGGGTTAGGTAATAATTGTACATGTAAGGCGTATAATAAACAAATTGAAAGTTATTGGTGGCATAATAACAAATGCGTGTGTAACGTTGCGCTATGCAAAAATTATAATGCGCCAATCATAAACAATAGATTTGAATTTTATAAAACTTACAAATAAGAATAAGTAAAATCTTACAGTATATATATAAGATGTACTGGTGACAGTTTATTTCATTTTAAACAGTGAATCGAAATACTGCGATTTATTTATTGAATAAAAGGGATATTCTGCCACAATGTGAAAAGATATCAAAGTAAGTAAAAAAATAATTTCTGGCCTGTCATAAGATGGAGATAGAAACTAGACCATTTTGATAGCTGCATGTACTAAAATGACAAATTCTTCCTAAATATGTTGCTAAAATCGATATTACAATGTTTTCAATCTCATAAGTGTTAAGTTATGAAGTCTCAGCCGCTCAACTATGACGTCACAGCCTTTTTAAGAAAAGACAGCGACGAATTGAAATCAAAGAAAAATGTAATGAACAGAAAATTCAATGTTTTATTGTTGGACTCGTGAAAATAACAAAAAATCTTGTCCCACTCGTAAAATAAATTCCACATCCAACTACAAAGCATTGAATATCCTCTATGTATCAAAACAGCAATTGCGTCGCAGAAATGAGAGTTGAATGATGAAAAAAATCAATCATAATTTTTTTATTCATTAAAAATTAAAAGCTTGAAGTTCATTTTGAATGTCAAATGAATTCAGCCTTGGGTTATTTGTGGGCGGTGTTATTATCCAAACGAGAGAGAACCATCGATATATTTTGTTCCTGTTTTTAAACATTCATTGAAGCTGCATGTTTTCCAAATTAAACTTCATATTAACTTTTACTTTCTTTTAATTATTCATGGAAAGCAAATGAAAGTTATAAACATTTCCTGTTAATGTGATATTAGAACAGTTTTCGGATCCTCTTATTTTTTTTTTTTTTTTTTTAATTCTGAATCATATAATTATGAATATTAATTATCACTAATTTCTCGCTACAACAATCGTATTAATTACTCCCGTGGGACAGATAACTAAATTTGTTTAAACAGATACAATTGGAGATATTTCTGTTTGGTTGCCATGACTACACTAGGTTGTCATCCTTTTATATTTAACTAGATTATTGTTGGTATGTTTCATTGTGCTTTGCAAGTTGAAAATTTCAAAATCTCTTTACTTGGTAACTTTACTTACCCTTTACTTGGTTAAGAGATAATATTTGAACAGGCTACTTGTACATGTACCGTATGGAGCGCCTCAATTTGATGTTACATGACATTATACGCTCTTATCGTTCGATAATAAATAAAGACCAGTGCTAAATGAATAAATCACAACACATATATTAATAGGAACACTGTTCGCTAGTGCTTTTAGTCAATTACGAGGGTTGTCCCAGAAAAGCGCGAACTTTTAAAATATTTTATAAATTACCTGACCAAAAATTATTCATTTTTGGCAAAATGTTGGGAAAAGTTATTTCAGTCTTTTTTGCTAAATATCTTAAGGTTGTAATGTGATATGCATTTAGAAACAACATTTAAAGGTTGTTAAATATCGATGGTCGGCGCACTGCAATTTCTTGACTTTCAACAATTGCATTGAAAGCGATGCTTTCTTTATTATCATGGTATACAGAAATATAATGTGACTCGTATATGCTTATGTAGGTGTTTTTCATAAGCATTGTGTAATAGCACCTAGAAGTGCCGACAAATCATCAAACCGGACTAACGCCCGATATTCAATTTGTCGGCACGTCTAGATGCTGGAGAAATGGTGTGCAGTTTATTCACAAGATTGAAACCACGTGATTTACTTCTCATTAATAATTCATAAGATCCTGCATAAACTCGAAATTCCATTTCTTTAAATTTTGATATTTAAACCTGAAAGCCTTGTTCATTTCGTATCGGGACTGAGCCCATAAATAATACAATCATGGGAATACTTTGATCAGAGGATGGTGCCATGTTGGGGTTCATAGGTCAACGGACAGAGCTACGTACAAGCGTTGGTTGCAAGGCGATGGTAAGGTAGCCAGTAAGTTTAACTTTTATATCCGGGACCATGAATACCTAATGAGCATAAAATACACTGTTTTTAGGAAAGCGGCATCATTTTAACCTTTTAACTCTTTTTACTCCTTGAATTTTTTTAGATTATCTTTTGGAACTCTTACTCTTTTTTGGCTTCTGGGTTGACTCTCGTTGTTTCTAGCTTCCAGTGCTTACTGAATATGTTTGGCTTTTTTGCACTTATCTTACAAACTTTTGTTTATTATACCAATGTGTTGGTCTATTCTGATGAACATCCAGGATTTATAATTAAACCTCCTTATGACCATGGTGAATTAATAAACATTTGAAAAAGACACAAAATCTTGTTTTTATTGGCTAACAAACTCATGATAGTGTTGTTTTTTTTTTTTAAATAATAGTTATAAATAGGTCACACTGATGCAAGAAATTACATTTTTTCAAATTAAAAGGCGATTGTAACTATTTACGAACTGATAAATTATCTGACAGTGTATATTATGAGAAAAGGCTTTCTTCTGCACCTATTAATCGGCAGAAGAACTCTGTCAACTTGCAAAAAATACATTTCATCATCAGAAATGAGAAATACGTCAATCCTATGCAATTTTCTTCAATAAAACAAAATACTCTCGTTTCAAGTCAAACAGGCGGTCGCAACCTTAGCTTTGATATCAACAATCTTATCATTTCCGGTAGAAGATATTAAGAAAATTCAAAGCATCATCAGAAGAACTTTATCCGAAATAGTTAATATATATTAATTTGCGAATTTTTGCGTTTTCTCTGTATATCTCCAATATGGCCGGTATGCAAATTCATGAGCAGAAGAACACAATTTTTCCATATATTATACGACGACGACATCCAAAAATAGAAATCCAAAGCTTAAATGAATGTTATCCACATAAGGCAGTTGAGGCTTTCAATACTACCCTTTGTAAAGATGCTTTCATTTAAGGTAGGTCGCGGGTTTACTCCATAAAAATTCTT